GGACACAAGGCTGGGGAGCTGGATGCAGTGCCAGGGACACAGGACACAAGGCTGGGGACACGGGACACAGGCTGGGGGGACGGGACACAGGGTCGTGGAGACGGGATAGGGAAGATGGGGCACATAATGCAGGGCTGGGGACACTGGGCAGGAGGCTGGGGACACGGGACAGGAGGCTGGGGACACGGGACACAGGCTGGGGGGACGGGATACAGGGTTGGGGACACAGGACACAAGGCTGGGGAGCTGGATGCAGTGCCAGGGACACAGGGCACAAGGCTGGGGACACGGGACTCAGGCTTGGGGACACTGGATACAGGGTTGGGGATGCGGGACACAGGCTGGGGGGACGGGATACAGGGTTGGGGAGACGGGATAGGGGAGATGGGGCACATGATGCAGGGCTGGGGACACTGGGCAGGAGGCTGGGGACACGGGACAGGAGGCTGGGGACACGGGACACAGGGTTGGGGATGCAGGACACAAGGCTGGGGACACTGGACACAGGGTTGTGGAGATGGGCTAGGGGAGATGGGATGCTTGATGCGGGGCTGGGGACGTGGGGCAGGAGGCTGGGAACATGGAACAGGAGGCTGGGGACACGGGATGCAGGCTGGGGACACTGAATACAGGGTTAGGGATGCAGGACACAAGGCTGGGGGCACAGGACACAAGGCTGGGGAGCTGGATGCAGTGCCAGGGACACAGGACACAAGGCTGGGGACACGGGACACAGGCTGGGGGGACGGGACACAGGGTCGTGGAGACGGGATAGGGAAGATGGGGCACATAATGCAGGGCTGGGGACACTGGGCAGGAGTGGGGACACACAGGACAGGAGGCTGGGGACACGGGACACAGGCTGGGGGGACGGGATACAGGGTTGGGGACACAGGACACAAGGCTGGGGAGCTGGATGCAGTGCCAGGGACACAGGGCACAAGGCTGGGGACACGGGACTCAGGCTTGGGGACACAGGACACAAGGCTGGGGAGCTGGATGCAGTGCCAGGGACACAGGGCACAAGGCTGGGGACACGGGACTCAGGCTTGGGGACACTGGATACAGGGCTGGGGATGCGGGACACAAGGCTGGGGACACAGGACGGAAGGCTGGGGACATGGGACACAGGCTGGGGACACGGGATGCAAGGCTGGGGACACAGGGCACAAGGCTGGGGACACAGGAGAAGGCTGGGGAGATGGGACACAGTCCTGGGGACATGGGACACACGGCTGGGGACAGGGGACACAGTCCCAGGGACATGGCTGCAGCAGGGCTGCGGGGCAGAGGAGGGGACGGCACTGGGGACGCAGGGCACGGGAGCGGGGATGCAGGGACAGGGCTGGCGGCGGTGGGAGGGAGGTGACATTAGAGCAGGGGTCCCCACTGCGGCATGCCGGCCCTGCCCGGCCCTCTGCCCTCACCCCAGGGAGGCCCAGGGGCCGGTGGGGCTCATCCCCCCAACCAGCCCCACCTGGGGGCTCCGCCGCCCACGCCCCCTCCCCGCCTGGCCCCGGGGCTGCATTTAGGCTCCCACCCTGCTCCCTGCTTAGGCTGGGCTTTAGGCGGGCCTGCGTTGGACCTTGCACCTCGCTCACTTCATTTCATATCTCGGTTTTGGGTTGACCCCAGCCCTGCCACATCCCCGCGGATGGGGCTCCGGTCCCGCAGGGCTGCGCTCGGCTCCGGAGCAGCGTGATGGAGACCCTCGGGGTGAAAAGCGTTTGACCAGCAGCCATGTCCAGAGCAGATGCTGCCCGCACACAATACGCGGGGACCAGAGGTGACGCCGAGGACATCCTGCTGATGGCAGTGGGCTTGGACCGAACGGGCGTTTGAGGTCACGGCTCGCCTTTCTGCGGCTCGGTGGCCAAAACAGACCTGCGGGCAGCTGCCTGCGTGTCCTGCCCGCTGCCCGGACGGACTCAGCCCTGCCGCCGACTTAGAGCGGAGGGTTTCCAGCCTCCCCGCAGCGGCGATTTACAGAGCAGAACCTCTTGTGCCGGGAGGGAGGGGGAAAGGAGCCGTGCCAGCTGGATTTGGGAGAGTGGGAAGCATTTGGCTACGAGGGCAGGTGGCCCTGAGAGGGAACCTAAAGTGCGGGGACCGATCTAGTTACCCAAATCTGCTGGAGCCTCTTGCTTTTTGGGGTCAATTCCCAGCAAAAGATTGTCTTATCTTTCAGAGATGTGTTTCATCTCCCATTGTTTTCCCTCTCCACGGGCATCTCCACAAAAAGCTTTGGCTGGGGCTGCTTGGGTGGGCTGGAGAGGCGGCGGCGGCGGCCGGGACAATATTCCCAGCCCTTATTTGGACTGGGCTTTGGGGAAGAGCTGCAGTTTCCCAGCTCTGCTGGACCCTGGGTTGGAATCGCAAAGCCAAAAAAATCGGTGGGTTTTTATTTTTTGGTATTCCTGCAACTGAACTCAGGGAGAAAATCCGATCGGCTCCGGCGGGCGCTGTGCCGCTTTTGTGCCTTGGCCTGTCCCACCTGAAACCCCTCATCCCAAACCAAAACCCCGTGTCCTGCAGCCCAGCTGGTACTCGGGGTTCCTCCGCGGGCGGTTGCTCCTCTTTTTCCTACAGGAATTTCTGCTCCAGCATCAATTTCATTCTGCGCTGAGACGAAACGTCAGGCTGCGCTGCACAAGGATAGAAGGGGAAGTTGGGAACAACATCCCTGGGGAATTTCGGGGGCCGGCTGGGAAGCGTGGCCGCGTCTGAAGCTCGGCTGCTGAGCGGAGGAGCTTCAGCTCCGCTCCAAAACCCTCTGGGAGGGAAGCTGGGCCAAGGAGAGAGGGGGACGCCGGCCTTGCAGCCTTTCCCACCCCACGATCCATGTGGATTCAGGGGTGTGGGGCCGGGACACCCCTCCCTCCGAGGAGCCCGGCTCTTCCCCGGTGTGGGCCCATCTCCCTCTGCCGCCAAGCCGGGGATGGAGCGGGGAGGCGGCCGCAGGGACGCGGGGCCGTGTCCCCAAGGAATGGCCGCAGGGCCATCAGGCCACCGGGGAGGGACAGGCGGTGATGTCAGCACTTGGATGATGGGGTACAGCACGCCTGACGCAGAAAGGACCACCGCCCCCCCTCGACGGAAGAGAGGGGGTCA